TCCACAGCGCAAAAAAAAGGAAAAAAAAAAAATATTTGGACTTTTTTTCACATTAATAAAGTTTTTGTTGAAGTTTTTTTTGAGCACTGTTTTTGGGATTGAGCACAATTTATATATAATTTTTATATATTTTTGGGACTTTATTTGGACTTTTTTTCACATTAATAATTAATTTTTTTGCACTGTGGAGTGTTTATATTTATAATAAAAATAAAGTTTCAACACTTTTCCAGATTTTTTCTGAGTCAAGAGAAAAATACAGATTCTCAAAATATATTAGATTTTCCCTTAGCTTAGTGAATGTGGTGAAAATTCACTTTGCAAAGAATACCCAATCATATGCAAGGAAAAAAAAAAAGATTCTGGCTTGCACATGATTGCTTGTTGGAACTCGGCAAAGGCCAGTTTTTCATAAACAATTGCCATGTTTTTTCAATACATTACTTGTTGTCACCATTTTTTTTATTCGTTGCTGCATATCAGACTGTTGTCTGCAGTTTCTTTACAGTCACCTCCTGTCTACATGTGCTGATGATGTTAGGAATACGGTAGGGTAGGGTAGGTTTGTATGATGAAATATATCGCATTACTTTAAATCAGCACTAATGGAGTTTGCCATCTGAATTGGAAATCCATACATCTACACATGCATTTTTGACCGCCACGTAATGGTGAGGTCTGGTAAGCTGCAGTCATTTTTAAGTTGTTGTTGACGGTGGATTTGCAAGAAAATTTTTATATTTTATTATCTAATTTTTTTTGTTTTTTTTTGGAATCACATAAAGAATTCGTTTGAAGTAAAAATATTACAATCTTTTTTGGACTTTATTTTGCACTTAGTACTAATTACATTTTTTTTGTGTTTTTTTGGCACTTATGGACATTATATTGCTTTTGTGATTTTGTATTATTATACACTTTTTTTTATGTTTTCTATGGGCATTAGTTTTTATAGCGCTGCACATTTATGTTTATTTTGTTTATGTATTGACACCTGCGATACTGTGCTGGATGCTGTGGTATTATATTTAGTGGTATTTCACCATATATAGCGCAGAGTAATTGGTACTGTTCACAGGTTTGTATGATGGTGACAACTTTGTACAACACTTGTGCATGGGCATGGTCCCTTTTAATCTCCATTGGGAGTGCATATGACAGTTTGATAATGCAGGGTCAAAATTCGGAGACAGTCACAGAGCGTTGTCAATCTATAATAGGAACTGCCTGCACAAGGACCTATACAGTATAGTAGGATCACCAAGTATTACTTTAATAAAAACTTTGGATTTAGCAATAGATAAAATTACTTTTGAAAATACATAATAATGCATGAGAATACAGATGCATTGGTGTCTATAGACCGTAGAAGGTAGCAGCCTAGCAGGCACTATCTAGCTGCCGAATATTCTTTATTTTGTAAAACCATTGTACAAACAAACGCATATAATAAAATAAAATGGTGCTGTGCTTATATGTACAGCATATGTGAAGTCACTATAGAATTACTCACCACTAAAAATGTATGAATTTTAAATGAATGTATATCCATTGAGGTGAGAGTGTACCTACAGGCATGGTGGAAGTCGTACTGAATTTCATTATTCGGTTATGAATCGACGATGGAATGTATTACATGCAATGCTTGTTTATACGGACATTGATTTAGAATTCATACTTTCTCAGTAGGGCACTAACTGTTAGGACACTTTATTAATATAGCATTTTTCACTTTGATACCCAATGGTTGTTTTGAATTTTCACTTGAATGCACAATTGCTAAATTTTGAGTAGAGTGACTATATATATGTGCTAGCAGGCGGTTACTAGAGTCATAGGCTAGCACAAGGTATTATTTATTAATAAACATACACATGCGCAAACATAAAAGTTTTGGCTTTGAAGTAGGTAGTGGGACCTGAACACAAGCTTTAATGTCCAGCTGCAGAATGAGATATTTAATGCCAGAGATGTGAAGTGGGAATGTTTTTCTGCAAGTGATAGCTTTAGCAGCCAGCCGGGACAAGTTTAAAAAAAAGTAGTTGGGTTGGCGTACCAAAGGAATAGAGAACGTTCACTTCGCAAAGTGAATAAACATTCATTTTAGGGACCATGGTAAAGCTCTGTTCATTTCAAACATGATATTGTGCTCACTTCGATCATCCAATGTGAAAGCAAAAATCATCTTCACTAAACTAGATAAACCTCTTGCAAAGTCTAAAACAGCTCATTACACATAAACAAAATGATCATACTAAATATAGCTGCCATTTCCACATTTACTGTTTACATGAGCAGACACACATTTGTTGCTATATAGCATTGTATTTTATTAAAAAAAAAAAAAAAAATATATATATATATATATATATATATATATATTACATGTTTCGTGTATTAAAGTGGTCCTGAAAAAATATCAGTGTAATATATATATATATTATGCTAATATATATATATACAGTATATATATATATATATATATATATATATATATATATATATATATATATATATTACAGTATATTATTCTTATTTGCTAATATATTGTGTCTCTCTCTCTCTCTCTCTCTCTCTATATATATATATATAGAGAGAGAGAGAGAGAGAGACACACACACACAATATATTAATAAAGAAGAATAATTAAAAAAATAATGTATACTGTAATACTAATGTATATATATATAGCATAATATATAAATATTAGACTGATATTTTTTTCAGAATCACTTTAATACACGAAACACGTAATTTATTGTTTGAGGGATCTAGCTGAATTCCATACATGGTTCAGCAAGGATTTTCATGCTAGAAAACTGGCATTTTGAAAGGGGGCTTTGTCTTACCACAGATCAAATGTATTTTACATTTTTATGAAAAAAAAAGAAAACATTTTATGTGTAAGATTTTTAAATATTTTTATGATGAATAAATAATATATATATATATATATATACTGTATATATATTTTCCCAAACAATACACCAAAATAAATAAAATACAAGGAAGCTACAGCACAGTAAGCATATATCAAAGAATACAGTCAACAAGCACTGCCAGATTTTGGTCTACAGCTCATTTCATCTCCAGCTGTGTCTGTTTGCCCCATATTGGCTCTATATGTCCATGCTCTTAAGAGTAGACTAAACTAACAAATAAGAGGTTGGCAATCTGCAACACAGAATTGAGACTGGACAGAGAGGGAACTCTGTAATGCAGTTGGCTAGCTTGAATACATATTGCAATATGTGCAAACACAGAATAACCCTTTTTATAATCAAGAGTTTGCTATAATATGGGTTAATAAGTGGCTACACCTCTTTGGTATCTTATGTGTTGTATATATGAAAGCGATTTAGGACCTGAACCCACATCTTCATTTCCACTGCACAGTGCAGGTTGGTAATCAAAAAGGGCAGGGATGCCTGAAGTTACTGTATTCTTTGATAAAGGATATGCTCACTGTGCTGTAACCACCTTGTATTATATCTAGACCATGGACTCACAGAATAGCATTAATCTTCCCTTGGCATCTGCCAAAGAATTTGGAACATCAAGGTGAGCAGTCTATAAGTGCACCCAGTCCATTCTCAGTCACATACATATCTGACCCTTGACCTATCCTAAAAAGAACCTTGTAAATGTCCAAAATTAAATCTTTTCTAACTTTACTACTTTTCCACAGCTGTTTTCAAGTGTCAGAACAAACCATGTTCTCTCTATGCATTTCTAAGTAATGCTCTCAAGACAGTTCACAAGCCTCCACTGCCAGTCTTGACTTAAAGTTACTACTTAAGAGTCTGTTTTTGGAACAGATAAAGAATTTTATTGTAGCCTTGTTTTCAATAAATTTTTTAGACTTCCATTTCGGTAAGTGTCACCAATTCATACTGATCTCTTCCATGGATTGCCTGCTTTTCTTCGAGGTATCATGTCAGAGCAATTATCACCCAAGATGTTAGACCTCCCGATCAATAATTATACTGGGAAAATTTCATTGGACAACCGTGTCCAGTTATCCCGACACATGGCTCCCAGCTGCAGGCTTGTTTGGTTGCTTACAATATTCTATCCTATATCTGATAAAACTTCTCAAAAAGGTCACCATGGGTTGAAGCTAGAGGAATTATATTTAATTTCTATCTATGTCATTGACAAAAGACCTACAGCTTTTAATAACAGTCCTTCAGATTGACCCAAAAAAGATACATAAAAAAATATGTATTGATTCAGCAGTTATGATGTCAGGATTCACGGCTAGCACTGTACCAATGGAAAATCTTCTGGGACAGTTCCTGCTGGGTAATACCTTGAAAATGAGTGTCTTTTTTGGCTTTCTCGATATGCTCCCATTTGGTCTTGGATGGATGTATCTTGTAAATCAGGCTAAGCGCTTAAGTATTTAGTGGCTGTTAGTCAAAGTCATCACATTCTGTTAAGAGAAGCAAAAAAAAAAAAAAGGAGGGATGAGGTAAACTCATATTTCCTGCAATAAAAAATCATTGCTAGACATATCTGGAGCCATCAAAAGACGGTTTTTTTAAACTGTAAACTTTTACAGTCTAAAGTTCAGCCTTGTATACAGATGTGATAGTATCCTTCAAACTCAATAAAGATCAAAATTTTGCTGCACGTAGGGACAAAACCACAGACGCTCAATTTTTTGAGAGAAATTACTAATTTGAGCATCGTCTGCAAAACCCAGGCAATTTAAGAGTTACCAGTCAACTATGCCCAAAAAGAAATGGGAAATTCTCTGTGATCGATCAGTCTCTGTTGCATTGTCATCACGAAAAGTACGTAATAATTTCACAGTGTGTGCTACGGCATGTGAGCCAGGGTTAATGTGGCTTGACTTGAGCAAAGCAGTTATGGTGAAACTGTCAGTTCAGTGTTCTGGATCTAGGGATGAAACTTCTCACTTCTTGAAGCCCTCTAGCCACATGGACACCAATTACAACAGAACTGAACTCTAAAAATGCTAATCTGCTCTACGCTGTACATTTTAACCTAAATGTAGTAATAAATCCAAAGCAACATTTACCTTTCACTGACTCTGACCTCCCTCCTGGTCTTGGGCACCAGGACTAAGCTGCGGCCCAGTCAAGCAAAAGTAGTTCCAGCACATAGACTCAGTAACCACTATGGCATGGGGTGAATTAGACTAAATAGGCTCCATTCATAGAACCAGATCGCTTGTGATATGTAGACGTCCAGGCACATTTTCCCTAAATACCGCATGCAATCCTGAAACTGTCAATTCATTATACCGTTCTGTGTTATTACAGCAAAACGCTGAAAACGTTAGCTAAATACCGCATTAACAGGTGTTAAACTCAATTCACAGAAGGAAATAATTAATTAAATGCATGCTGTGATTAAGTAGTGGTTGAGGCATGCGTTATTTAAATTAATGTGCACTGGTAGTAAAGGAGCAGGCGTCCGTTGGTGTCCTTAACAACCAATAACTGTCATGGTTGTTAAGGAGCAGGCTGCCACTGTGTCCTTAACAACCAATGACTCATCAGCTGTTAGTGGGGTTTCCTGCTGAAAGCTGAATGTAAAAAAAAAGAATTGCTGACAATGGAAAATGAAGAAAAAAAAATGTTGTGGGGTTCCCCCTCCCAAATCCATATTCGGTCCTTTGGTGGTTGCCCGCTCCTTAACAACGCAGAATTTACTGCTGTTAAGAAATAAGTCGGCCCACCTGCCTACACTTCAGCAGCACCACTACTATTAAAAAAAAGTCCCTCAGACCACTGACTCTTCAATGCACACAGCTTCAAGATCTTCAACACACACAGCTCCTCTTTATTGCGCACAGCTCCTCTTATTGCGCACAGCTCCTCTTTATTGCTCACAGCTAGCACACAGCGATACAGGATTACACCAATCTCCTAAGGTGAAACCCTCTTGTATCCTGGACAACTCCTGCCTGTCTCCCAGGTAGAGCCCTGTCTCCAAAATGGGAGCCATGAACCATCTTTGGGTTTGGCTTATATGACACAGGCTGCAGGCATCCAGAAAGAGCCGTACACAACGTATTGAGGGTTCCATCTCACACAAGACACTTTGGAACCTTCAAACTCCAGGTCCTGCTCAGAAAACTTAAAACACAACCTTCCCCATAGGAAATAACATCCTGGAGCTTCAAACTCTGCCTTAGTGTGAACCGTGTCCATTTTACCTTCATTTTCCCAGTGGCAGGGCCTCGTACTGTCACACCAAGACCCAAAGAAAGCTTGAAAATACTGAAGGTTAAAGTAAAAGGGAACAGGCCCTTTTTTACACGTGATCAGATACCCTCTGTTCTCAGCTACATAAGAGCTGGGGGAGGATAAACAGCAGCACACTAAACTTCCCAGCGAAAGGATGTGTGGAGAGGGGGGGTAGGAGAGGTGTCAGGACAAACCAGATCATTGGAGGAGAGCAGGCTGAGTTCTCAGCACAGCTTGTGAACTGACCATGCTACACTATCATGCCTAGTGTGCTCAGTTTTTAATAGGAAAGCAGAGGGACTGGCAAAAACACCAGGGATTTCACACAAAGGAAGCAATACAAAGAGGACACTTTTTCATACAAGGACATGGTACCGTAGACTCATAACAGGTATAGGAAATATTGGTTTACCTATTCTTTAATGTCATTTAAAAAAGTAATTTTCAATATGTTTAAATCTGCAGCTTTCATTCAAGATAATACTAGCGATGATGCCCTGAAGGGTCTTGTTCATACACTGGTATAAGGTAATAAGGCTCTCTGTACTTCTCTGTAAATTAAATTTGATTATTATAATAAATGTAAACAATTAAACATTTTCCTTACTCTTACCATAAAGAACCCTTTCTCTGTGCGAAGGTTAAACTGCTGTAATTGCAGTGGAAAGCAGAAAACTCCTTTAAAATGTAGGCAGCTCACAAAAAGTTTGCCTTTAATCTCATACATCATCAAGGGCTCCAAATACTTAGGCAGGTACAGTATGTTTGTGACTATAAAATACATATTGTACTTCCCTGTACATTAAATTTTATTACTATATTAAATATTAAGTCATAACAAATATTCCCTACTTTTACCGTAAAGAACCCTTTCTTTGTCTGAAGTAATTGTAATTGCAAGGTGGGTACAGTATGTGTGTGACTGTAAAATACATATTGTACTCCCCTTTAAATGAAATGTTGTTATTATATTAAATGGGCATCACAGTGGTTAACTGGTTAGCACTTCCAACTGGCAGTACTAGGGTCATTGGTTCGAATCCCAACCATGACACTACCTGCCTGGTGTTTGCATGTTCTCCCTGTGCCTGCGTAGGTTTCCTCTAGCTACTTCGGTTTCATCCCACACTCCAAAGACATGCTGGCAGGGTAATTGGATCCTGTCTAAATTGGCCCTAGTATGTGTATGTATGAATGTGAGTTACACCCCAGTCACACCGATCCCGATTTTGAAATCGTGCGACTTCACTGTAAGTCACACGATTTCAAAGTCAGATGACATGCCAATTTAAGGTGTGATTTGCAAGACATCTGACACAGATGTCTATGCAAATCGCACCAAAAATAGTGCATGTACTACTTTAGAAATCAGTGCGGTTCCGACTTGACCGCTGTAATTGCAGACATTAGCATGCAATTTGCAAATCGTACGGCATGCAAATCGCAGCCAAGTCACTCCCAGCGTGACTGGGGACTTAGGGACCTTTAGATTGTACACCCCTTGAGGGTTAGGGACTGATGTGAATGTACAATATATATGTAAAGCACTGCGTAAAAATTGATGACACTCTATCAGTACCTGAAATAAATAAATAGATGTTAAACCAAAAAATCCCTGGCCCTGCGGGATCTCCTGCATGGTAGAGGTTGGGGAAAGACCTGGCAACCTACCCTGTAAAATAATTGCTAAGAGAATTCATGGACATTCACATACGAGTGACGGTCCATGCAATCGCCAAGGGTCGGATACGACTGAATGGATAGATAGATAGAAACCATAAAACATTTTCCTTACTCTTACCGTAAAGAACCCTTTCTCCATGCAAAGGTTAAACCGCTGTAATTGCAGTGGAGAGCAGAAAACCCCCTTTAAAATGTAGTCAGATGACAGAAAGTCTGCCTGTAGAATAATACTGAGCCCTTTTCATTCCAAATACTTAGACAGGTATGTTACACCCGGTCACACCAATCCTGACTTTGAAATCGTGCAACTTCACTGTAAGTCACATGATTTCAAAGTCGGATGACATGCCAATTTAAGGTGTGATTTGCAAGACATCTGACACAGATGTCTATGCAAATCACACCAAAAGTAGTGCATGCATTACTTTAGAAATCGGTGCGCAGTTCCGACTTGACCGCTGTAATTGTAGACAATAGCATGCGATTTGCAAGTCGTATGGCATGCAAACCGCCACTCCCAGTGTTACCGGGGACTTAGGGACCTTAGATTGTACGCCCCTTGAGGGTTAGGGACTGACGTGAATGTACAATATATGTACAAAGCACTGCGTAAAATTGATGGCGCTATACAAGTACCTGAAATAAACAAATAAATGTTAACCCATAAAACATTTTCCTTACTCTTACCGTAAAGAACCCTTTCTCCATGCGAAGGTTTTGTCCGCTGTAATTGCAGTGGAGAGCAGAAAACCCCCTTTAACCTCCCTGGCGGTATTCCCGAGTGTAGCTCGGGGTAAAGTTTCAGTACCACAAGCGGTAACCCCGAGCTGCACTCGGACTTACCATGTGGCACTGCTCGGGATTGGTTGTTTTCTCTTACCTTGTCCTGCGCTCCCGCGATGCCCCTCCTGCAGTGTCCCCTGTAATGTCCTCCTGGCCGATGCCGGCATCCGTCTTCCGGGTTTCTGTTCCCTGCGATGTCGGGACATACGGGGGACGGAACGGCGGGAAATTTTAAAATGACAAAAAGTGACATTCACTAAATTCACCAAAATCATAGTATTCCATTTCTGTATCAAACCATTTCACATACATTTTGCCCGAGTGCTTTGTCCGGCGCCCTGCCTGCATTTTGACTGTTCTTTCTGCCTGAAAACTGAGAAACGTCCATGGCGTCCAAAAAGCGCCCCTTTAGGTCAAAAGCGGTTTTAGACCAGCTAGAGAACAGCGATAGTAAATCAGAACCACTTGCAGAATTGAGTGATAATGATTCGTGGGGGAAATTCCTCATCGGACACTGAAAAACGATTTTGCAACTTTACTCAGCGATGTGCGAACTTGGTGCTATTTTTCAAATTTAATTTGGTTTGATTATATTATTAAATTACATTTTTTATTATTATTATATTATTATTATTTTTTGATTATTTTTTAAATTATTATATTATTGAATTAAATTTATTATTATTATATTATTATTTTTTATGATTATTTATTAAATTATAATTTATGATTTTGTGTTTCACATTTTATCATACCCGGGATGTTTACTAGACTCTTGTTCGGACAGATTTCAGTGAGTTATTCCTAAAAATTACAGGCCTACAAAAATAAAAATATATATTTCCATGCAAAAAAAATGTACCGCTTTGAGCACAGAAATATGGACATAATCAGACCACTAGGGAGGTTAAAATGTAGTCAGATGACGGAAAGTCTGCCTGTAGAATAATACCGAGCCCTTTTCATTCCAAATACTTAGACAGGTATGTTTGTGGCTGTAAAATACATATTGTCCTCCCCTGTAAAAGGACATTTTATTATTATGAAATGTTTCAGCCATAACACAGTGTGAGCTGTGCCAGCGATTCATTTACAAGTGAAGTCACAGCTTAAGTCAAGAAACGTCCTCATGCGCAGCTCAAATCTCTGCTAATTACCCGCTGTACATTCACGTCTTATGGGTGGAAGTGGCCAGGTTCCTCCGGTGCCGGCTAACGACTTGCAGGTGTGCAGCTGTGACAACAAAAACCTCTCCATAAACACTGCCAAACGTCAGAGCAGCCAATGAGAAAAAAAGAAAAAAAAATCACCATTTCACCATTCACAGCAAATATTAAAACACATCATGGCATTAATTATTAAAGCGGAGCAGCACACGATTCATATTCAGGTGTTCCGTTTTCCAATGTCCATGATTCACGTACAGCTGCTATTACGTCTGCTAGGAATTTTTTTAATTTTTAATTTTTTTTTTCTACACAGGATTTGGAGACAGTTAGCAGCACTCATCGTAAACTAGAACTGACACAGCAGACACTGGCTGCCTACGGTTGATATGTGGATATTTGCTGTGCGCCATGTTGGACGCCATATTGTTAGGCAGACCCAAAGATAGGTTTCAGCCAGAATGGAAAATGAAGCAAAGATTATCATAAAAGTTTCAAGTGAATAAATGAACTGTTTTAATATGATAATGTTGGACCGGTCTGTGGAAATTTGTCAGGATTTCGTGCCACGCTTAAAGACAGAGGAGAGGAGCTCTTCAAGGTGAACCTTACCTTGGATCCTGTATAGCAGGGGCATCCACACTGTCTAAATAAAGGGCCAGTTTATTGTATTTCAAACTTTAGGGGGGTCGGACTGTGGCCAGCAATATCAGTGAAAGGAATAGTGCCCCATCATTGGTGTCAGTGAGAGGAATAGTCCCCCATGATTGGTATCATTTGGAGGAATAGTGCCCCATCATTGGTGTCAGAGGGAAGAATAGTGTCCCATCATTGGTATCAGTGAAAGGAATAGTGCCCCATCATTGGTGTCAGTGGGAGGAATAGTCCTCCATGATTGGTGTCACTTGGAGGAATAGTGCCCCATCATTGGTGTCAGAGGGAAGAATAGTGTCCCATCATTGGTGTCAGTGGGAGGAATAGTGCCCCATCATTGGTATTATTGGGAGGAATAGTGCCCCATCATTGGTATTATTGGGAGGAATAGTGCCCCATTAGTGGTATTATTGGGAGGAATAGTGCCCCATCATTGGTGTCTCTGGGAGGAATAGTGCTCCATCATTGGTGTCATTGGGAGGAATAGTGCCCCATTATTGGTATCAGTGGGAGGAATAGTGCCCCATCATTGGTATCAGTGGGAGGAATAGTGCCCCATTATTGGTATTATTGGGAGGAATAGTGCTCCATTATTGGTATCATTGGGAGGAATAGTGCCCCATTATTGGTATTATTGGGAGGAATAGTGCCCCATTATTGGTGTCATTGGGAGGAATAGTGCCCCATCATTGGTGTCTCTGGGAGGAATAGTGCCCCGTCATTGGTGTCATTGGGAGGAATAGTGCCCCATTATTGGTATCAGTGGGAGGAATAGTGCCCCATTATTGGTATCAGTGGGAGGAATAGTGCCCCATTATTTGTGTCATTGGGAGGAATAGTGCCCCATCATTGGTGTCATTGGGAGGAATAGTGCCCTATCATTGGTGTCATAGGGAGGAATAGTGCCCCATCATTGGTATCAGTGGGAGGAATAGTGCCCCATTATTGGTATCAGTGGGAGGAATAGTGCCCCATTATTTGTGTCATTGGGAGGAATAGTGCCCCATCATTGGTGTCATTGGGAGGAATAGTGCCCCATCATTGGTGTCATAGGGAGGAATAGTGCCCCATCATTGGTGTCACTGGGAGCAATAGTGCCCCATTATTGGTGTCATTGGGCCAGATAAAGGCAGGCAAAGGGCCACATCTGGCCCCAGGGCCGCAGTTTGGTGACCACTGCTATATAGGGTATTGATGAGCAGAGGCTGAATGGCGCAGTATGAGTTTGCTTTAGATACATTTATTTAAATATTAATTATAAAACGCTATTATTAAAATAATGTAACCATACTGTATTAATGATCAATTATTATTATTAATTAGTAAATTATTATTTATTTTCACATATTAATAATTACATTAATAATTACTAGCTATTAGTAATTATTAAAAAACTGCATTAATGCCTATCTTAGCCCAAAAACAAAAATGTATCATATTACCAGTTTTAAGATAAGATTGCTGCATTAGTTTTACTTTTCAGGCGTTTCCCCCCTTTATTAAATGATTAATAATTAAATTATTAATGATTAAAAAATATTATTTATTAAAAAGTAGTATTAAGGCATATCTTAACAAAAATGTACTATATTACAGCTTACCAGTTTTTAGATGAGGTAGCTGCATTAGTTTTATTCTTCAGGTTTAATAATTAAATAATTAAATATGAAATATGAATTATTAATTATTATTAATTGTTAAAAACAGTATTAAGGCCAATCTCAACCCAAAAACAAAAATATATTATATTACAGCTTACCAGTTTTGATATGAAGTTACTGCATTGGTTTTACTTTTTAGGATTTTTTTTATTTAATAAATGATTAAAAATCAAATATGAATTATGATTATTAATTATTAAAAACAGTATTATATTATATTAGAGCTTACAAGTTTTGAGATGAGGAGGCTGCATTAAATTTACCTTACATGATTTTTTCCTTTATAAAGGGGTTATTAATTAAATTATTAATCAATAACGATTATTAATTATTAAAAATAGTATTAAGGCCTATCTCAGCCCAAAAATAGAAATGTATTATATTACAGCTGACCAGTTTTGAGATGAGGGTGGCTGCATTAGTTTTACTTTTCAGGATCTGTTTTTCTTTAATAAATGATTAATAATTACAATATTAATTATCAATGATTATTAATTATTATAAACTAGTATTTAGGCCTATCTTTACCCAGAACCAAAAATTTATAAAATAAAATAAAGCTTACCGGTCTTAGCATGAGTTGGCAGAATTTTTTTCTCCTTTTCATTTTTGTTTCCTATATTAATTTATTGAATATTACATTATTAATTAATAACGATTAAAACTAGTACTAAGGCTTATCTTCACCCCAAAATGTTATTTTGCAGATTACTGCAGATGAGATGGCGGCATCAGTTTACTTTTCAGGCTTTTGCTTCCTTTAATTAATTATCAATTATTAAAATTAGTATTAAGGCTTCTCATAACCCAAATATTATATTTCGGCTTGCCAGTCTGAAGATGAGGTGGCAGCATTAGTTTTCCTTTTTTTTAGGGAATTTTACCCTTTATTAAATGATTACATATTAAGTTACTTATGAACTATTATTAATTATTAAAAACAGTATTAGGACTTATCTTAACCCAAAAACAAAAATATATTATAATGTAGCTTACCAATCTTAAAATGAGGTGGCTGCATTAGTTTTTCTTTTTAGGCATTTTTTCCTTTATTTATTTCAGGTACTTATATAGCGCCATCAATTTACACATATATGTTGTACATTCACATCAGTCCCTAACCCTCAAGGGGTGTACAATCTAAGGTCCCTAACTTACATTCATACATACACATATTAGGGCCAATTTAGACAGGAGCCAATTAACCTTCTAGCATGTCTTTGGAGTGTGGGAGGAAACCGGAGTACCTGGAGGAAACCCACGCAGGCACAGGGAGAATATGCAAACTCCAGGCAGGTGGTGCCATGGCTGGGATTCGAACCAACGACCTGAGTTCTACCAGGCGGAAGTGCTAACCATTTAGCCACTGTGCTGCCCTATTTTAAATGATTATTAAAGTATTAACTATTAACAATTATTAATTAAAACCTTATTAAAGCATATCCCAACCCCAAAAAAAATTCAGGGAATTGCACTACTTGCATTAAAAAAATACATTTATGATGTGTTAAAGTAGAACTAAAGGTGGATTCACACTATGCCCCGAGCTGAATCGCAGGATAATACGCCGTGCGTTCCTGTGCAATTCATCTGCAGCTCTGTGCGGTGCGAATTCAAGCTCATTCTCTTGATGCGGTGTGATTTCAGCCCATTCAAAGAGCTACATGCACTACTTTTTGAAACAGCAACCGCATCACATAGTAATTTCTATCATGCAATTTGGTGCGGGCCAGTGTGGGCAAACGTAATGCATCCGGAACTGCGTTTTGGGG